TCCTCATGGGCCCCAGATTAGCTTTGTGTCATAGGGCTAACGCGTTACGCACATCTTAGGATGGGGTAGAACACGCCTGGCCATGCAGCCAAGCTACACAGACCATGCTATTTATTTAGGTAAAACTGCAGAAGACCAAAGAATATGGTACAGAGAAAAGGCTCTGCTGTAGCTGATGCAGCACACGAGGAAGGGGCAGCTGCCTCTTTCTGCCAGCTTTCTTTTGTGCTCAGATAATCAGATTTCACAAGCACAGCTAGAAAACCACCTGCCAGGATGAAGCCCAAAGCCTCACACTGGCCACCCCTTTGCCCCTGGCCACCCTGTCGCCCCTGGCCACTCTGCCGCAGGCAGGCCGGCTCTGGTCTCCACTCCATTCTGAGCTGGCAAAGGGGTGGCCAGTGTGAGGGCCACCAGTCTGAGTCACTGGGGCTCTGGGATGCTCAGAGCTAACCGGGAAGGACAGACAACTACCCTAAACCCGTTCAACGGAGCCTGCTAAGTGTAAGAGCTAAGTCAGTGAGACAGGTGAGATGCCTCGCCCAGCCTAGGAAACTGGAGAAGCTTCCAGAAGAGTAGTAACTTTGTAAAGTTAGCAAGGCAGAAAAAGGTGGGAATAATCCTAAACGCAGAATGTTAAGGGAGAAATAGAAGCAGGCGTAGTGGCACATGTCTGTAATTCCAGCAGTCCGGGAAGCTAAAGCAAGAGGATCTCAAGTTGGAATATAGCCTGGACAACTTCGTGGTTTGGGAGACCCTGTCTCAAAACTAAAAGCACAGTGTGATTGCCCTGGATTCAACCCCCAGTGTAAAACAAAGATGTGGGGGGGGGGGGGAGATGGCTCAGTGGAATAAGCACTTCCCTGGCAAGCGCAAGGGCCTGAGTTCAAGCCCCGGTTCCATTCCCCTCCCATGGGTAGACATACGTGCCCTCATGAACACACACTACACGCGCAGTAATACACTAAGCACCGTGCACTACCCTGTACGGCTGTATGCAGGATACACTATACATAAGAAAGGATATATCTGTACATTATCAAGTAATACATATGGAGTGAGTAAAAGCGCATATCGGAATAAAAAAACATAGAAAGCCACCTCTGAGGAGGAAGAAGGAAAGGGTGGGGAACGTGGATACTTACATCTATCTGCTAGGTCTTCCTTTCCCCGGCAAGGAATGGATAGTTAGGTATTGATATGTTCACTCTTTTTTAAGCTGGGTGCTTGAAAGGGAGACAGGGTACTTTCCAAGCGGAAACACCACTTGGAGCACAGTGCAAAGGCTGGAGATGGCAGTAGTGCCCTGTGACAGGCCCAGTGACTCCCGCGCTCTCCCAAGCACCTCGTAGGTCTTCCTTGTTCATCTTTTCTCTCTCATTGGGACGTGGGGGTGGGACTGTGGACTGAACCCTTGCCCAGGCTGGGCTCGAACTAGCAACCTTTCTGCCTCAATCTCCCAGAGTGCTGGGATTACAGGTGGGGGCTGCCACACTAAACCTCAAGAAATTTCCTAATCTTCCCAACTTCCCACCTCACCCGCTGACGTCCTGCTTCCCTTAGGCCGACCTTTCTGATCAGATCTGCCCCAGGACAGGCTCGCAGACCGCAGCAAGGGTCCGCCTCTGGCCCAGGCTCTATTCCTGAGCCTCGCGGAGCGGCGGGGCGATCCCAGGGCAGCCTGAAGGCTGTGGGGCTCAGCCCGCAGGGGGCCGCGGGCACCAAGGCCCGGTTCCGCCGCTCCCCAGCGAAGGCCCGACGACGCCCGCAAGGTGGGCTGCTAGGCTCAGGGCTGTGCAGTTTTGGAGGTGGAAGACGGCCGTGGTTGGAGGATCCGCTAATCCCTGCTCCAGGCAGCCGGCGGGTGGGTGTGTGCGCATTCAGCTGGTGGGGGGGTGTGCGCGCGCTAAGCAGGGGGGTGGGGTGCGCGTGCACGGGTCGCGCGGCCCCGCGCCCGCGTCCCCGCCCGGAGCGCGCCCAAGCTGCCCGCAGCCCTGCGGCTCAGGCCGGGGCTGGGGCGCGGCACCGCCTCGGCTGGCGTTTCCCGGGGCGGGTTTAGAGGGGAGAAGGCGGTGCCACTTTCGAGGTGGCGAGGCCCGGCCCGAGCTCTAGGATGCCCCCAGGAGGGCGCGGCGAACCTCGGCCGGGGCACCGCTGAGAACGGGCTGCTCACCGCTACGTCCCCGAGGGGGCCCGGGGCCGCGTCCCCGCCGCTGCGCGACCCCGACCCCGGGCGGCACCCCGCTCCTCCCACGCCCCGCGAAGCTGTGCGGGGACCGGCCCTAACCAGCTTCCCTCCCGGGAGAACGCAGCAACTCCGGTGTCCTGGCCTTTGGGGCTTTGGCTAAACTGTGAGCCCCACCCTCCGGGAGGACGGCAGGGAACAGGTTGAGGCTCAGCCCCTGCAACTAGGTGAAACGCTGCCGCAGAACGGAGAATTAAAAGGGCCAGAGGACATGGCTCAGAGAAGCGACCTGGAGTTCAATTTCCAGTATGGCCAAAACCAAATAAATAATGAAAATACCGTTTAAAGTGTAAAAAAAAAAAAAAGTAAGCGTGACACCTTGTGACAGTTGGTCTCCAAACTCAAGCCAGCCACTCCCCCCCTTTTTTTTTTTTTTTTTTTTTTATCAGAAATTGAACTCTAGACTTTGGGCTTGCCAGGCAGGTACTGTGCCACTGAGCTAAATCCCCGGCCTTGCTCCGCTGGCCTGTGGTGCTGGCTGGCACTGTGTCAGCCTGCAGCCAAACGACGTCACCCATACATGCATGTGCGTGTGTGCGTGTGTGTGCGCGCGCACGCAGCAATGCTGACAAAACCATGAGCCTGCATTTCATTACCTCGATCAGAAGATGCTTGCTGAGAGTTTCCTGATAAGGCTGCGGTGGGCTGGGAGCACACGCAGCCTTCCCCAGGGACCACCCCCCCTCGGTTTTGATCGTGCTTTTGTGTATTAATTAGTGCTCTATAAAGCAGCAGCCCTGGGGTGCGACCTCTTAGCTGCTGTGCTGCTCCAGAGCCCTAGCCAACTCCCTTCCTTACCAGGCCGACCTGTTTGCAGCTTTAGACGTTGAGCCCCTCAGTGTGGAGGCAGATGTTTCTTTACATCTGTTTGGGAAATTCTTGGAACACAGATACATATGGGCATGTGCATCACAATCACCTTTACTGGAAGAATATGGACCCACCAACCCCAGATTTTCTGGTTTACAAGGGATGAACAGGGGCCCAGGAATCTGGATTTTTATTGCTGTTTGTGTTTGGTGTAGTGTGTGTATGTGGTTGTGGGGACTGAACCCAGGGTCTTTGAACTGAGTTCTATCCCCAACCTTTCCATTTACCACTTTGCAGGAGGCCTTGCTATGTCACTGAGCTGCCAGAGCTGGGCTTCAGCTTGTGACCTTCCTGCCCTAGGCTCCCAGGTGTGGGCACCACCATGCCTGGCTCAGTCTGGAGTGATGGGAGGTTGCACGGTGGGAAATGTGGCTCCTGGCTCTCCAGCCTCCGCCCTGAGCCAGCCCACGGAGCAGGGTCGCTTCCTATAGCAACCCACAGACCAGATGTTCCTAGCACAGCTGGCTGCCCATGAGGCCTGAGAAGCAGTGCTGGCCTTGGGGAGAGGAGTGCTTGGGGAGTGCGCATCTCCAGTGCTGGAAGCCAGAAGCCCGGGTCACCTTGGCTTGCCGGCAGCTGCCAGTTCCGAGGCTTGGTGCTCTGGGGGCAGCTAGTCATCTTCTTTCAAATCAAATCCTAGCACGGAAAAAGGTGACTCACTTCCCCAGAGAGATAGTGATTTGCACAATGGGGGTGAGTAGAAGACAGAGAGCCGGGAGGAGAAAAGACAGGCACGGGACTGGGTTCCAGGAGAAAGCATTGAGAGGTAAAGCACAAGGAGAAGGAAAAGCAGAGAGGCGTAAGAGAAAAAGAGCCAGAGATAAGAAGACCAGAGTTAAAGGGAGGAGAGACATGGAAAGGAGTAGAGGAGGGAGAACAAGGAATCAGAAAAAAGCCGGGTATAGTGTAACCCTAGCACGCGCAAGGCAGAGGCAGGAGGGCCACTGAGAGTTGGAGACCAGCCTGAGCTACATAGTGAGATCCTGTCTCAAAATAAAGGAAGACAGGGTGAGCAAGATAGCTCAGCAGACTAAGCACTTGCTTAAGCAAGCACTGGTACCAAGGTTCAAGCCCTGGCACCACAAACCATGCCAGCCACGGAATCTGGGCATGGTGGTGTGCACCTGTAATCCCAGCACTGGGGAGGCTGAAAACAGGAGGATCACTACGAGTCCGAGCTGTACCAAATACATTTAAAAAAAAAAAAAAAAGGAAGACAGAACTGGGTGTGGTGGCACACGCCTGCAATCCAGCACTCAGGAGGTCAAGACAGGAGGACCACTGTGAGTTCAAGACCAGCCTGGGGGCTACAAAAGTGAGCACAAGGCCACCCCTAACTGCATAGCAAGACTTTGTCTCAAAATTAAATGAATAAATGGAAGAAAGAAAGATTTTTTTTATTTTATTCATTTTTTAAAAATTTGTCTGTGTGTGTGTGTGTGTGTGTGTGTGTGTGTTTGTGTGTGTGTGTGGCCAGCTCAGCCCACCAGGGGGCGGGGCTGGCTGGCATGTGGTGCTGGGGGATTGAACCATGGGGTCCCTGTGCTTTGCTAAGCTTGTTCTAAGTAGGTGCTTTAGACCACTAAGCCATCTCACCAGCCCCAAAAGATTTTTTTTTTTAAAGAGAAGAAAAACACAAAAAAGAAAACAGAATGAAAAGATAAAAGATCAGGAAGTAGGGTGGCTCCTTTAGGCAGGATTTTGGAGTAGTCCAGGCTAAAATGTCCCTGCTTCCATTCCCAGGAAGATGCAGGAGATCAGTGCCAGGTGGAGGGTGTGGCCTGGGTCTTGACTGCCGACTCTAGGCCAGCCTGGCTTTCGCCCTTCCCGCATTCCCCAGAAGTCTGAGCAGTACCAGACTTCAAACACCAGGCAAAAATGTAAGGCAGTCACATCCTACATGCCTGGGTGGTGACGCAGGCTTTCTAGACATCTGATGGGAAATAAGATGCTCAAAGGGTGCGAACTCCTTGCACAGTGCCTTAGCTATAAAGAATGCTCACTATGGTGCTGTTTATGATAGGTTTTTACAAACGCCCAGTGCTGCAGAGAAGCAGGCAGAAGGAAAAAGGAAGGGGGCTTTATTATCTTGCAGGACATGGAGAGAATCTGGGGAAGATGAGAAATTCTCTCAGTTCCAACGAAGGGAGGCTGAGGCTTTTATGGCCTGCTGCCAGGGGTGAGGTTGGAGGGGGATGTTTAGATAAGCCTGGGAAGTGGGCCGGGGAGATGGCTCAGTGGAATAAGCGCTTCCCTGGCAAACATAAGGGCCTGAGTTCAATCACCGGTTCCACCAAAAAAAAAAAAAATGATAGATGCAATTGGGGGCCCAGCCCTAGCTCAGTTCTTTAAGTGGCTGCTTCCACAATGCTGGCAGCCTCAGTTTGCTGTAGTTCGATCCCCACAACACTCCCGCCATGCAAAAGTGCCCTGAAGGCATTCAAGGAACAAAACACACACACACACACACACACACACACACACACACACACAAAAAAAATCCTTATAGATAAGCCTGGGAAAGCTGATTGAGGGTCTTCCCTGAGGTGGTGGGAAAGGTAAAAGGAAACTGCACCCTGGGCTGAGTTGGAGAAGAAGGGGGGAGGTGGTCTCTGGGAAAATAAGCTGTTGTTTCAAGGGCTTCAGCTATAGTAGATGACCACCATAATGATTCAGCAATTCATACTAGGGCCAGAACCTATCAGTTTATAGGAGGAGGGAGAGAAAGACAGAGACAGAGAAACAGAGACAGAGGACAGAGACAAAGAGACACAGAGAGAGGAAGTAAAGCCATACAACACAGTGCTATAAAGCTAGCAAATATATTGGTATGGGGCTGGGGTGCAGTTCAGACGAGGAGCACTTGCTTAGCAGGCAAGAGCCCCTCGGCTGCATCTGCAGAACTACACAACAGCTTAGCAGGGTTCAGTGGTGTGCTCCTGTGATATCAGCTACTCAAGAGGCCAGGGCCAGAGAATTGTGAGTTTGAACCTAGCCTGGGCAGTTTAGTGGGACCCTGTTGCCTCCAAATAACCAATTAAAAAGGGGGGAGGGATGTAGCTCAGCAGAGGACTGTCCCTGGGCTTGATCCCCGCTATCACCACTGCAGCCACCAAGGGAAATAAAATTAGAGAATAGTCCTTCATAATGTGAAAGAAATCCTGTGATACCAGGCCAGGGAAACAAGTGCATGAATACATTTAAATGATTAGTTTTCCCTTTTTTTTTTTTTTTTTTGAGGAACTGAGAATTGAACTCAGACCCTTGTGTTTGCCAGGGAAGCACCTATTCTACTGAGCTATCTCCCTGGCCCCTAAATGATTATTTTTAAAGGCAGGCTCTCAGGCTGGGATACAGCTTAGCTGCACAGTGCTTGCCTGGCAAGCGTAAGGTCCTGAGTTCAATTCCCAGTACCAAACCCAAAAAGATAAAGACAGGATCGCATTGTACACATAGCCCAGGCTGGCCTCAAGCCCCAAATCTTGCAATCTTCCTGCCTCAACTTCCCAGAGTGCTGAGATTACAAGTGCCATCCTGCCAAGGCTGGTAAATGAACCTTCAAAATAGTATGATTTGTGCATAAAGAAAATGTATTTATATAGCAGGGAGGACTACTCTGCCATAAAAGGATAAACTTGAGTCATTTGTAGGAAAACGGATGCATTGAGACCATAACAGAGAGTGAAATAAACCAGACAGACAAACTTAAATAGCACATGGTTTCCCTTAAGTGAGAAATCTAAAACCTAAAGAGCAAAATAAAAGCCGGTAAGAAAAAGTGAGACAGAACTTTTGCAAAAGGGAAGGGGACCGAGGGAGAGGAGTCTGGCAGGGCTGTGAGAAGAAGAAAAGCAGGTCACGGGCGGTGGAGGAGGAGAGAAGACCCTGCCAGCCGCACCTGAGTAGCCCACCACCAGCCCGCTTCACCCCAACACCACATCAGCTAGCCCAGCAGTGGGCTCATTCACTGGCGAGTGTCTCACCTTACAATGCAGTCACTTCTTTGGGGGAACATCTGGCTATCAACCAGAGCGGGGACCTGCAGCAGCTGGAGCGGTCAGCTTCACAGTGTGATCTTGCTTGGGCTCCAGCCACTGGGTCCCTGAGCTCAAGGTCCCCATTCTCTATAAATGCAGTGGTTTTCCAAGAAATTCTTGTGATCCGAGGAGCCATCCTGACCTCAGTTGCTTATCCCTGAGAGCCAGGTTCCCTGCCTGCTCTGCTCAGGGACAGGAGGTCTGTGCCTCCCTCCTCCCAGCCAGGGTGTCTGGGGGCTGTGGGAAGAGGCTGCTGGGCCCTCCGCGGAAGCCACTCTTGCTGCACAGCAGGAATGAGCGGGGAAGGGAAGGGCCCTTCTCTGGGACCCTGAAGAGGATGAGCTGGCACAAAGCCTCAGTGCCCAGGCTTCTGAGAGGCATGGAAAGCAGCAACCAGCCTCCAGGTGACGCTGGACACCTGGAGCCCACATGCCGCCAGCATGGCCTGAAAAGGAGGGTCTGGGAGGGGGAAGGAGCTTGGACAAGAAAGATGGGGCCAGAGAGAGTCTGGGAGCTTAAGAATCCATGGAGAGAGGGAGGAGGGCCCTGGTCTTGGGGCTCTGGCTGTGTTGGTCCCTTTGTCCTGTGTCCCTTTGCCTCTTTGCCGCCCCCCCCCCCCGTAACACCTGGTTACAAATCCCAACCTTACAGAATTGTTGTGCTGAACTAAAATCATGCATGGAAAATGTGCTCAGGGGACCAGCACACAGGGGGCTCTCGTCCCAATCCAGATTGCAATTGTCAAGTGAACGGCAGAGAGGAAGCTCGTGCCCAGGTGCACGCAGATGTCCACACACACACACCACTCACACGCAGCAGCACACAGGGGCAGACAGGAAGCCCTGCTCCAGCTGGTGCTGAGAGTTCTGTATGGGGACTCACAAAGGCAGGCAGGACCTGGTATGATGGCGCACGCCTGTAATCCCAGCACCCGGGTGGCGGAGGCAGGAAGACTGCTGTGAGTTTGAGGCCAACTTGAACTACATAGTGAGACCCTGTCTCAAAACAAAACAAACAAAAACCCAATGCAGTAAAAGTCATTTTCCACCCTGCAGATATCTAGTTCTCTTCCTTGTGGTAACAATGGCTATGTCTCCCACAGATCCTTCCAAAGAGTCTGTGTGGTGGTGTGCATACATACGGATTATTGTAATTTACAACCTTTGTTTATGTAATTGCTATTATTGTTAGGATCTTTGAGATCTTCTATGCCTACAGCGCTCTATCTGCTTGTTTCGTGTAATGAACTTGCGCTGGCTGTATGTGGATATACTCGGGCGCATTTACCAGGCCCTGACGATGGACACGTAGGCTCGCTCTGCTTAGCTCTTACTGCAAACCTCAGGGCAGTGAACGTCGCGGCATGCAGCCTGTGCACGCCTGTGCCTCGGGACTGATCATCCGAGTGCAAATGGCACCTCTGGTCTCCAGGCTCAGCGTGACAGCCTTGCACTAGGAGGAGCAAAGAGCAATAGTGCAGGAAGGGTCCTCACCACAATGGAGCCCAGCCGCTTTCTCCCCACTGTGCTCCAGGTCTGAAGCGAGTCTGCTGCAGATTTAGACTAGAGAATGTCAGGGAGAGAGGGTTTGGTAACAGGAATGTTATTTTTCCTTTAAAATTAGGGTTATTGAGAGTCAGGGAGATAACTCAGTGGAATAAGTGCTTGCCTGGAAAGCGCAAGGTCCTGAGTTCAATCCCTGGTACCACCAAAAAAAAAAAAAAAAAAAAAAAAATAGGGTTGAGAAAAGGGTTGGGTTGTGAAGATCAAATAAACCAAAGCCGGTGAGCAAAGGCTGCCTCCCGTTGCTGTTCTCATTTGTGGGCACCTTGGCCCTTGCTCCTTGCCTGCAATGCTCTTGGGCTGAAGTCCCACTGGCTGGCGAACAAGGCACCCAGCAGTCCAGCCACAGTCTCTCCTTTTGTCAGGACTGAACCAAGCAAGCTCCTTTCGTCCACTTTATTTTGTTTGTGCAGTGCTAGAGATCAAACCCAGGACCTTATGTCTACTAGAAACGTGCTCTCCCACAGACCCACACTCCCAGCCTAAGCCAGAACCTGGCCGCCTGCTCCCTGCAGCAAAAAACTCCAGGGGTCTTGGGCTCAAGCAAACAGAGGGCCCTGGAAGAAACCCAGCCTGACTTTACCCTCGTGGGCACCCTGTGCTAGACTGTTGTGCAGCACTATGTTCCAGGTTCAAATTGAATAGAGACCAAGACCAGAACAGATTGGAATTTGGTGAGCCTTTATTAGTGGGGCGGTGGCTGGCCAGCCACACTCCAGCAGGGAGGCATCAACCAGCTGCCCCAAGCATAGTTGCGCTCAGTCCTTTACAGCAAGCCTTGATGCAGCTGCAAGCTGTTTACCACTGGGCGGTTTTCACAGTTAAGCACAAGATATGGTTAGGGTGGAAACACATTTGCTGTGTACAACACTAGCCTGCTGAAGGATCTGCACTTGAGAAAGGAAAGAGATAGAGGTCTGTAGAGGCTGATACATTGTGTCAACTGGGCTTGATGACTCTGCCCCCCAGAGTGACTCAGCACAAAGAGACCATACAAAGGGGCTGAGGAAGTAGTCAATGTTCCACTTTGTAGGAGGAACTTCAGTCTTCGCAATCAGCTTGGACTTCATCGCCTGGCTTGTGCAAGTGTAGACTCTTTGGCCTCAGGCTTGGATCCTTCGCCTTCCATCGCAGACTCTTCAGGGTCCATTGCAGACTCTTCAGTCTTCCATCATGGACCCATTAGCCAATGGATAGAACACTTGCATGGAGCACTGCGGTGAGCTTCAGACCTTGGGACTGAATTCTTCAGTCTGGGGTGGAGGGACGCCCTCTGCAGGCTCCCTCATCTGACTCTGCTGCTGACTGTCCTAAGCCAATCTTGTAATTCCTTATACGTTGTATATCTTGTGTTAATATCAGTTCCTTATATTATATCTGTTCCTCTAAGTAAAACTCTGACCAATACAAGGTCCCTGCCAGCTTTGCCCAATAGAAAAATAGCGAGAGCCACATTGATTTTTAACCCATTACACACCCTCCCGCTATTTCTCAGAAACTCTGTGGGGACCAGAGTTCAAAGGATGTGCTTCTAAATAAACAGCTCCAAGAGCAGTGTGTGTGTGTGTGTGTGTGTGTGTGTGTCTCCCTGGGAAAGGGCAGACACAACCAAGGCATGATATTCCTTGGAATTCAAATCGTGCCCTTTCTAACACCAGCTGCCTCAGCCAAAAGTGGTCAAAAGGCACAAAGCTTCTTCCTGCTCCTCCTCAGACTCCTGGTCCGGCCTTCCTGCCTCTGGGCTCAGCACCCTGACCCCACCCTCCTTTTCCCACTGCACTCCTCGAGGCCTCTGGGAGGACCTCAGCACCCTGGCCTCCTGCTGAGCAAAGACACACCATTATCTGCATTCACTCTTCCTCCCCTTTGCCCTCCCTCCCTCCCTTCCTCCCTTCCTTCTTTCATTTTTTTGAGACCAGATCTTGCTGTGTAGCCCAGATTGGTGTCAAACTTGTGATTTTCCCCACCCTCAGCCTCTGGAGTCCTAGCCTTACAGGTATGTGCCACCGCACCTACCTTCTCTGTCCATGGCTGTCGCTCCTCGGCCTCGCTGCTTGCACTGTGTAGCCCGAGATTTATAGTTTGTGTCCTTGCCGAAAGTGAAGCCCGAGTCAGCTCCCATCCCTGGCTGCCCTTTTCCCCAGTGCTTGGCACCATGATGGACACATAGTGGACATTCAGAGGCGTGTGTTCCTCTTCTCACAAGAGTGTGACAGCTGCACATTATGGGGCACGCCTATAATCTCAGCACTCTGTGAGGCTGAGGCAGGAGGATCCCAAGTTAGAGCTCAGCCTGGCAACTGAATGTAGTGTGAATAACTTGGGTTCAATTTCCAGTGCAGGGAGAAGGGGAGAAAGAGAGATAGTCTTGTTATCAGCACTGTTCCCAAGATTAAATGGGGTAAAACTCTTAACCAGCTGCCACAAGTCAGGCCCGTCTGGTCCAGGCCTGGAGCATTTCCTGAAGGCTGGGTATTTCTCAGGCACTTTTGGAGCAGAGGGAGGCTCCTGTGGGTTGCCAGGGCCGCCTCCTTTGGTGGGGCTCACAAAGGAAGCCTTGTGTAGGAGGGGTGGGCAGAGTGCTTTGTGGGGCAGCTGGGCCCACGGCTGCCAGGCCTGGGCTGGGCACTTGACCACAGGTGGCCTTCGGAGGGCTCTTTCATCTTAGTCCCAGCTGCCTCTTGGCTGGCTGGGCCGGAGCTGGCTGCCTGGAGAGCAGAGGAGCTGGCAGCCCTATTTCAGACAAGAGAGAGGGAGAGCTGCAGGGGGCAGTGGAGAGCAGCCTCCCTCTGGGAGTCAGGCCAAAGGGACACAAGATCTGATCACAGACTACACCCGGGCCTCTGCGGTTCCTTGGTTGCCATAGTATCGAGCAAGCCCAGATCACAGACTCCCTCAGATAATCCCCCAACTCTCACCATGTCATGGACAGGCCACTGCGGCCCAAGGAGGGTAGGCACTGGCCAAAAGGATCGAGCAAGCAGAACTGGAGCCCAGGTCTCAGGTCTCCTGCTGCTCTGTTCTGCTGTTCTGCTTGCAGGGTCTTACTATGTAGCCCAGGCTGACTTTGAACTTGTCATACCCCTGCTTCAGCTTTCTAAGCGCTGGGAAGATGGGCTTGTGCCCCCATGCCTGGGCGCTCACTTCGCTGCTGGAGCCTATGGCGCTCAGACATTATTTAGAAATCCAGTACCATTTTTTATCTTGAATTGTGAGGCTGAAAGCCGCGTTTGAGTTTCCCAGGTGGAGAATGAAAGGGCAAGGAGAGGCCAGAACAGCACCAAAAGGAAGTCACAAAGGCGGAAGCAGGGGTGGAGAAGCAGCAGGACGTGGAGCTGAGAGCCCAGGGTGCGGCTGTTGGCTCTTTCCTTTGCACTGTCTCACCCTCCCTTCTGAGGTGACGACCCGTACAACTCTGCCCCCTGTGGGTCACCTGGCCCACTCAGCAGCTCAGCCCTCCTGGAGAGGTGAGACTGCTGCATGGGGCCCGTGGGAGGCTTCCAACCAGGGAACTCCTCCAAGAGCTCAGGGCCCCTCTCCGCGGCTTGGACCCTGCCGCTCAAGGCAGGGACTGCGGCTTGGCTCCAGTCTGTGTGCTGGAAGCTTGGTTCCCAGGGTGGCCTTAGGAGATGGCACCCACCTTGAGGTCGCGGCACTCCTGGTCTCTCTGGCCTCTGGACCCGAGCACACGTGGTCTCACTCATTCCCACCACACACTCCCACCTTGATGCTGACTGCCCTGACATAACCCGGCCCAGGGCATCCACACCAGAGGTGGAATCTGAGGGCCTCCTGGTCTTGGACCTTCAGCCTCTAAACTCTGAGATAAATAGATCTCTTTTCTTTTTCAGGTATCCAGGCTTTGGGGATTTCTGTTTTCTGTTGTGTTGCTGTTGCCATGCTGAGCATCAGACATGGGACCTGCACATGGTAGGCACGTGTTCTACCATGGAATCACAAGTGCAGCCTCACAGATCTTATTACAGTGGCCTGGGTTTCCAGCCCCCCACCCCCACCCTCGGGGTTCTGGGTCTCCCGGCTTACAGCGCAATTGGCTCTCAGCACTGTTCTCTGCCCACCACCTTTGGCTCAGCAGGGATGGTGCAGCCAGCCAGTCACTCTGCCTTCACGCCTTGGTCTCTAGACCTCTCTCCTAGTCCTCTTGTTCGCCCTTTCAGCCTCCCCCCATCCGTGTCCTTGGCTCATCCCTTACCCCCTCATGCCCTCCCCCAGGCCAGGCTGGTACTGGGGTCCCGGCCCACAGCGCCCCTGCCTCTTCCCAGAGCTTGGAGAAGAGGAGTAGAGGATGTCGGCCCCTGGAGCAGGACATTCTTTCTCCTCTTGAGGACTGAAGGAAGCCGCGTGCACAGTGCCCTCCATTGTGAGGAGATGGGGAGACGCTCCTGGCTGAGTCACCATGTACTCTCCGGGTGCTTGGTGCCCAGTGACCCCTAACTTCATGACTGAAGCTCTGCGAGAGGAGTCGAGGGCAGGCAGGTGGGCAGAATCTGGGGAGTGCCCTGCAGGGAGCTGAGGGTCCAGGCACACACAGCCCCATGGTGGGCACTGTGACCTGGCAATGAGCCCTCAGCAGTGCTTCCTGCAGGGGCCTCGTGAATCATGGGGTACAGAGGGGCACGCAGGGCACATGCCAAGTCAGGGACTCACCCAAAGGCTGAGGGGTCTCAGGGCAGGAAGGGCACCAGGCAGTGACCACAGCTGGGGCAAGAGGGTGGGGTTCCCCAAGAGGGGCACCCGGGAGTATGACTGGTCTGCTTGGATTGCTGGGGAACCCTGTTAAGGAGCTGAGTTTACCTGGGAAGGAAGGAGGAGAGGAGAAAGTGCTGAATGCAGGAAGTGAAACTTCAGATTTGCGGATCAAAAACAGTTGTCCACCCTAGGTTTAGAGCACAGAATGGAGGGGGGATAGGTGTGGGGGAGTGCTGGGAGGCTGAGGCCGGAGGGCTGTATAGAGTTGGAGGCCAGCCTGAGCTACACAGTGACACTGTCTGGAAAAAAGATGGAAGTGCCAAGCAGACAGGACTCAGTGATCCTGTTAGTCTTGTAGAAGAGATTGAGGGCAGGAGCAGATACAAGATTACCTGCTTATTTCTGCTTATACCCCTGGGATTGGGTGGAATTGTAAACATGGGGATGTGGGCTAAGGAGCAATCCTGAGGAAACAGAGATGTCCTGTAGTCCTGGGCCTGCGTGGCTGGAGGCCTGGTAGATCCCTGCATCCTCATCCTGGTGGCCAGCACTGGCTTGACACCCTGCAGTGACTCCTGAAAGCCACTTCCCAGCCCAGAGCCACAGAGCCTGGGGCAGCCCCCTCCAACTGTGCAGGAAACTTGCAAGAATCTGTTAGAGACAGGCAAAGGAGATATGGAGAGGCCCTGTGGAGGCCTTCTAAAAATGTCTCACAAGGGACCGGGGAGATGGCTCAGTAGAATAAGCACTTGCCTGGCAAGCGCAAGGGCCTGAGTTCAATCCCCAGTTCTGAAAAAAAAAAGTTTCACCAGGGCTGGTCAGATAGCTCAGCAGAGTAAAGCACCTGCTTTGGCAGAGTGCAGGGGCTGGAGTGCAATCCCTGGTGTGCCGTGCCGGCCCTGCCCCTGGGGCATGTTGAGGCAGTGATTGAGACTGGGTGTGATGGCGCATGCCTGTGATCCCAGCGCTTGAGAGGCTGAAAACAGGAGGATCACTACGAGTCTGATCTGTGTATTGAGACCCTGTAGACCCTATACACACTGTAGAACCTGTCTTAAATTCATAAAAATAAATTTTTTAAAAAGTCTCACCAATTAAATGGGGCTTGGGTGCCCTTGTTTCCTGCTGGAGCTGGTTTCCGGGTTTTTCTCGCAGAGAACAAAAAATTGGATGAAACAAGCAAAAAGCAGTGGCAAGGGCTGGGAGATAGCTCAGCCGACTGAGCACCTGCTTAGGCAAGCACAGGCACCAGGGTTCGATCCCCTGCACCACATGCCTACCTGCCCTCCCCCCTGGCTCTCTGAGCCTGCCACTGAGACTGGGTGTGGTGGTGCACGCCTGTAATCCCAGCCTGAGACAAGAGGATCATTACAAGTCCAAGCTGTGTAGTGAGACCCTGTACCAAATACATAAAAGAAAAAAAAAAAAAAAAAAAAAAACAGTGGCAAAGTTTATGTGGAAAAGTAAAGGTGAAGAGTGAGAAAAACTGGCTCTGCAGAGTGGGCTGGGGGAGCACAGTGGAGAAAGCAGGATGGCAGCAGCGCCCCCTGCAGGAGCACAGTGGACAAAGCAGGATGGCGGCAGTATTCCTGAAGGGCCAGGCGGTCGCGGAAAGGAAGCCGCCACGGCAGGCTGTTCTTGGCACCTGTGTCCTCTCCTGCTGGCCAGATCTCGAGGAAACCGAGAGAACTTCTACATGAAATAGAGAGGTTTTGCAGTTTTTCTCATTCTTCTTATAATAAAAGTGGTTAAGTGACTTAGTAAAATAGAAGAGCCTTTACCAGGCTGGGGATGTA